GGTAGATTTGACCTTGTGGACTGTGTGCAACTCCCACTTTGCTACAGGTGAAAGACCGGTGTCGTGTAGAAGTCGGACAAGTGACGAGCTTGCCACTGCTCACGGGAGGAACAATCGTCACTCACAAGCATTCCTAGTCTCAAATGGTGTCTTTGGAAGGCAAATAGCTTAGCAAGGTGAACAGTGATGCAGATTGGCGTTGGACAGTGCAGCATCTCCGATTGGTCGTTAAATGCTAGAAATTTACAGAAATACCTTAAGCAATGCAAAGAACAAATGGATATCGCTTCTTATACCACCCGCTAAATTACAGCTCACATCAAATTAACATAAATATTAGTGGCTGAATTACTTTAGTAGCGAATGAAATTTAACCATGGCTGAATGAAATAAATAGCTGGACTTCGGAGCAAAAAGTGAAGATGTTTCAAGGCCACACTCCGCTTCGTTTATGTCGAAGCCGAGTATGCGGACATTTTGCGAATTGATTGGTGGACACATTTGGATTGTGATTGACGTCGATTTCATCATGTATGTTTCCTCGCTTTAAGGTAAGTATCGCCCTATGATTACACTTGGTAGGTATGTTGGATGCATTTTGATTCACTTACTGCTGCAAATCGAGAAGTAGAATCACGGCCCTTCAAGATGAGCCGGTACGAAAAATATGAAAATATCTTAATACCTCGGATCAAAATGTCTGTAAAACTGTTTCCAGTTGAGAATAGGTACTTTAAAGTTCACGATCCTCGGAGTTGATAAAATTGGCACATCACTTAGTGAAAGTGGCTCGATATGCATCTATGTCGAATCCTATTTCCGTGGATCCCTCCAACTGCATACCAAAACGCTACTCTGGCTAAAGAGAAGAAATGGGGTCTTTCCAAAGATCTTTATCTCACCATGGTTAATATGGTCGCTTTCAGGGTGCAGATAACTGTTTCTTACTTCACCCTGACCTTTGTGTGCTATCCCTTGATAATAATGTAATTTTTTACAGTAAAATACTTCACACCTTCGCCCGTGATCCTGAAATGAGGTGTACTTTGTTTCTCCATAGAGTCATTGCGCTGACGAGACGATTACTACGCAGCCCATGTTGCTATAGATAGAATAATGTAACACGTCAGGAAATATACAGGAAAAATTAAATTTTACTAATGGCATTATAGTTGCTACATATACCTGATGGGTCCTACGCTTTCTATCAAGAATGATTTAGTGGATATCCTAGGCACTTCGCAACTCAACGGTCATTAATTGTAGCAGTCTTGCCAAAAAGATAGAGTGGCACACTAGATGAAATGCAAGTTCTTTCTGACTTTATCAATAGTTATGATGATTTTCAAAGCACTTTACACTCTACGACGACGTTAGATTGGTGATTAAGGTGTGTTAAGCCCCTCCAACCGAGCATATCAACGTCATAAATTTGTTGAAATTAGTTGG